TAATTTTATGTATTTTGATCGTGCAGGTACCGCATACCACTGCTTGAGATTGTTAGTGTTACGTCAACGAAGTTGATGTTTTCAGTTGCCTTTGCCTATTTGGAATATGAAAGGGAGGAGAATTTCACATGGACACTGGAGAAGCTCAAAGAGTTATTCTCTTTAGAGAAATTGCTATCGAAGGTTGTGGTGATGGACCGAGAACTTGCATTGATGAATTCCACGAAATTTGCGTTCTCAGATTATACTCATATGTTGTGTTCGTTCCATATTTCAAAAACGGGAGCATGAAATGTAAAGAGTACGTCAAATTAGAAAGACATGAACATGCCATGGATCTATGGAACAATATCATGTATTCAAATACAAAAACTGAGTTTATCGAACACTTTAAGCACTTTGAGAGTGTTTGTGCTGATATTCCTTTACTCGTTAAGTATGTGAATGAAACATAGTTGACACCTTATAAAGAAAGGTTTGTTGCTTTTTGGACTAACCGAGTCACTCATTTAGAGAACACAACAACAAACATGTACAAGGAACATGACACTTTGATGTTATTACTATTTATGGTTCAAATACAGTTTGAAACATGTATTTCTACTTATGTTTTTTAGGGTGGAGTCTGCTAATTGGAGACTAAATAACATGTTGACTACAAGTTGTTGAGATTTATGCCGAAGTTGGGATGTTGTGAATATGATGTTGAAGTTGCAACTAGGTTCAAGGAGAGTGTCGTTTCAAAAAAAAGTATTGTCAATATTGAGCATCGATATAACACTTCATTTTATGCCAAGTTGCACGATTTTGTCTTAAGACAATGTATACAACTCATTGAAAAGGAACTAGAATGGGTAAAATTTGTTGGTTCAAGCCAAGAGAGATGTGGTTGCTTCATTAGAACAACATATGGATTACCGTATGCATGTCAGCTTGCCGGTTTCCAAATAGTAGGCAATCACGTTCCTTTAAATTTAATTCATATATTATGAACGAAATTGCACATTGTAGAACATGAGGTCGGTCATGATGAGAGTGGTACAAAGTGAGATTTATAAGAAGAGTGTAAAAAATTAAATAGATATTTCAATACTGTGGATATTTTAGGTCAGAGGATGTTGAAGAAAAAGGTTTGTGATCTAACATATACATCCATAACTTTAATGTGTCCAACACCGATGAAGTATAAGCCAAAGAGGGAAAATAAGAAGAGTAGAAAGAGTCAAGAGACTGATGTGCATCATAATCCTAGCCAGTGGGAGTATGGAGAGCGCTCGCAGGGGAGTCAAACTACAAAGTGATCACACACAAAATCAAATGGAAGTCAACCGTCAAATATGTCGATTGACAGTCAACCATCCACTGCATCTTCAAGACATATTTACTTGTCCCAATTTCCTGATTTTTTACATCCATACATCAATGACATTATTGATGTTGTTGACGATGGAAATTGTGGTTTCCATTGTATTCCATTTTTATTTGGATGGGGAGAAGACTTATGGTCTTTAATTCGGACGCAATTAGATGCTCAAATTCATCAACACTCTCAATTGTTTTTCAACTTGTTCTATGACACTGTATCTAAATTAGGAATGTGTTACGAGTAGACCACTTGAATATGCAGAATATGGATAAATGGATGACAATTCTTGATATGAGTTACCCTATTGCTTCTAGATACAATGTCGTATTTGTTTCCCTTTCCGTGAGACTTAACATCACATTTTTTCCTCTTGACTTAGCTCCACTTATGTATACGAGCAACCATAAAATTATTGTTATTGATTTTGTCAATGACAATTATTTGGTTTAGGTAAAGTTGAAAATTGATTGCTCATTACCTCCCATCACTGGCCGTTGGAGACAGAACTATACATATGATGCAAACGTATGGGAATCAGCATATGCGAGTGCTTTATGAAGGTGTGAAGAAAACACGAGAAAGGGAGATTTGAATTGGATTTTCCATTCTTAGCAAACTTTAATTTCTTAACTTGTTGCGTTAAGGATGCTTTTGAATATTTTGTATAAGCATAAACAATTAAGCATAAGCAGAAGTAAAGAACACATGATATATCATGGTTTACTTGAGAAACCCTCAAGTTAGTCCAGTCCACCCTACCAAGGTGATTTCGACTTGAACCCAAAAATCTAATCCATTATAACCAAACTGATTACAATCTGCACGGGAAACCGCCAGTGACTAACATCCAATGACACGTTCAGGGATCCAAACTAGATATAACGTTCATTGATCCAACAGAATCCAATTCTTCATAATCTTCTATCAGGATTTCCTATAATGACCACAACCATTATCTTCTTGAGATCATACCTTCACCCAGTTTCTCAAGGAATCTTGGAATGATATATTCAATGATCCAATCAAATATAACAATCATAGATCCCTTAAGAAATCTGACCAATCTGGTCTTTCTTAATAGGATTTCATCTACGATGACCATAGTCAAAGTCTTCTTGAGAATCCTGACTCAACCGAGTCTCTCAAGGAACCGTCAATATTCAGTTGATAAAGTTGTGTTTACATGATTGCTTCTTTCTAAGTATATTATACAAATGATTAAGTCCTGATTGTTTGACCCAATTATGAGCAACAACTCTTATATACAAACAATTTACATGAAAAAGTAAAGATATGACACAATATAAGCAACAACTCTTGTCTTTACATGATTCTACAAGGATGAATATAATCTAAGTTTAAGTACAGTAACTTGTAGTCTTCTTGTCTTCATTTTCTTTATTGAGCAAGCTATGAGCAACAACTCTTTGCTTCTTCGTATTTCTGCCAAGAAGTATTTGATAAAAATTTAAGTATCATCTTGTTGAATTATTTTTCTTCATCTTCTTTCTTCTTTCTTTCTTCAGTATGTTCAGCGTAATAGTTGTTGTTGTTTGTTGTTGTAGTGGTTGATAGTTTTTTGGTTGTGTTCCAATAATATCAATTTTTCATTTGAACATTGAACACCAACCATATTTTAAGCATACAATCATTTTCTTATATAGCCAAGCAAAATAGAATTGCTGACTATTTGAAAAAGAATCGTTACAAATAGTACTGTTACGTCCTTTTCTTTTCCACAATTCAAGCTAGTGGAGAGGTAGTGGAATAAGGATTTTCTTATTGTGTACTATTGTACCATGTTGACATTATCTTCTTTCCTTATGCACTCCAGAGGCTTCTGCGAGCATGAGGTTAGAAGCGGGAACATAACATAAGGTCATCAGAACTTCAAGTCTTCAGAGTCTTTAGAGTCTTCAGCACTTGGTCATGAGAACCTTTTCTTAGAACTTTGAGTCTTTAGAACTTCAAGTCTTCAGAGTCTTAAGAGCTTTTGTCTTCAGAGTCTTCAGCACTTGGTCTTTAGAACCCTTTTCTTTAGAACCATTGCTCTTTAGAAACTTGAGTCTTTAGCATCTGGACTTAAGTAGAAATTCTGTCTTCAGATCTTCTGACTTGTTTCTTTAGACAAACATTAAAATCTACACTTCAGAGCCTTCTGGAGTGTCTTGCTATTGTTCATCAGAACTTGTGTAGCGCAGAAGCGGAACTAATTCTCTTCTAATGTCTTGGTCACACCATCCATCAGAAACAAAACTTGTTTGTTAAATACTCAAAAATAACAATCATTAGAGTATCAAAATTATTCATATAAACATACTCATTTGTTATCATCAAAACTCAGAGATAATATTACAAAACCAAATCTTGTTCTAACACTTTAGACACTAAGAAGACCTATGTAGAAAGTCATTGTAGTTTGTTTTGTATTCTTATGTGTATGATAGTTATTATATGTATATATTAAATCAGATAGCATTTTTACCATTTCAATTTTTCGAACACAAGTGATGGAAAAAAGAGAATAAAACCAAACTACCGAAATTTTTTGCTAGTTACCATAAACTTCAAAATTTCCGATATATGATTACATTTTTCCGAACATTTGAAATTTATGATATCGAAAATTTGAAAATTCTAGTTAGCTACAACCATTTACGGTAAAAAAAATAATTGAAATTTCCTATAAATTCTCGAAATTTTCAATACCCTCACATAAATGTTGTTATTTCCGATATTTTAGCAAGAGCAATAATGTCAAAGCACTAGAAAAGGATTAGGTGTCAGATAAAAGTTAGGGGGGTGGCAAATTAAAACCTCACTCTATACCCCTTGGAAAGTCCACATTTAATCGGTATACATATGTAAAATTCATAGTTATGGTCTTTGATAAATCAGACTCATCATCATCCATAGTAATAACTAACTTTGAATATTATAGGAACCATTGTCGCTCAGTGTTGATGAGTACCCGATTTGACTTATATTTATAGTATTACTTGAAAAGGTTTTTTCCACCGCAGAATCTTGTGTATGTTACTCTATTGCTACAGCAAGGTTGATATATATAACTTTGCTCTATTCCTATAGCAGGGTTGATAAATACTCCCTCTGGTCTCATTTATAAGAAAAAGTTAACTTTTTAGATACATTAAATAAGTAATGTATTTGGACAATATATTGTCCAAATACATTACTTATTCAATGTATATAAAAAGTTAATTTTTTCTTATAAATGAGACCGGAGGGAGTATAACTTTAGCATTCTATACTTTACACAATCAGATCATCGATCTTGGGATTTATATGATTTGCATTTCAATCCATTGTTCACTGCATTTAATCTCATTAGTTAAAAACACAAACTAATTGAGAACAATAGTCAATCTCATCTCAATGCAAATCATACACACAAAAATAATCTTCAGCAATGCATAATCGAGTCCAACAGAAACATGCACCGGACCCATCTAGTATGTCAATCATGTTACAAAAATCCAGTGGTAGACACCGAAAAGGAAGCAAACACATGTCAGAACCACCTTGTCAGACACCAAGTAACCGGTTAACCCCTCAAAGGTTATTTGGTAAGCAGGGTATTCTGAAAGTTACAGTCAGAGCTATCTAAAAAAGTTTATGCTTTGGTGTCGGGTGCTTCGTTTGCGCTTCCGTTTACAGTGTCTTTTGCATCTAGCTCAATGCCAGAAGATGCTTCCTCTGTATCTTCCTCTTCTGAATCACTCTCATCATCTGGTAAAGAAAACAGATCAAGGACACCAAAGTCAAATACAGCCATGGCAAAGTAAACTAAGAAAAGGAAAATTTAAGCCATCAGATGCACACCATCGTCATCATCTGCAGCGTCAAAACCCAAGCCGTCGCCACCCCCTCCCATGTTCAACTTCTGCATAGAAAGTGAACTTATGCATCAAGAGAGAACAGAAAAGAAATGTATTATTATTAAACTATCGATTGAGCAATGCTACTTACAGAAAAATCGACATCGCCAAAGTCCATATCAGATACAGCTGAAAAACAATATTTGGGAATGAGACAAACCTATGAAAAATAAAACCAAAAATTCAAAGAGATACTTTTGAAATCACTAACAGTTGGCATCTGGCTCATTCACTTCATCTTCATCAATCCATTTATCCCAATCAACTTTCAAAAAGGAAGGAGATTTCCCTCCCTGCTTCAATAACCTGTCCCACCATTTGTTCTCGGCCTTTTTCACCAAGTAGCAGATATGTCTCGAACTAGCACTAGTTTCGCTATTCTGAGAATACATATTAACACATTGATTACAAGATGTGTTGGAAAAGATATAATCAAATAAGCATCAACTGGTTTGAAGGAGTTTAAGGAGATTTTATTCAGAAAGAGACTTATAATTAGAGACGTAGAGAGTAATATACTAAAATATGCATGAAGAAAGAAAATCATAAACTGGTGGCCCTTACATCTACATCAATCTTGTCAAACAGATCAATGTCGACTTCATACGGAATCTTCTCTGTACCAGCAGTTGCAAAGAAGTAAAATTTTCCCTCTGGCTCAAGTTTGAGCTTCACATTCTGAGCATCAGGCAACTCAACTGTTATCAACACTTCATCAGACCTCTGGGCCCATTTGACAGTTGGATGGCGGCTGTAGTACAAGATGCGGAACAAATTCAGAGATCAAACATATTGCAAGATTTTCCACTTAATATAATATCATAACGGCAAAAGAACAAAGTATGACATGATTTCATAAATGCTCACAAATTTAAACTTAATGATGTGAATGGTAAGCAGTGTTGCCAATTGAGAAAAGTAGGTATTTGCTCAAATTCTACTACGATATCGCACTACACCTTATCCAAATATGAACAAAATGAGTAACATAAAACAACCCTAATTCATAGTGAAGCTAGTTTTCAAATGAAATTAACCACACAAAGAAACCATGGAATCATAGCTATGTGACAAAAAACTCATTAAGATCAATAATTAGCAATCAAAATCAACATGAAAGGATTTCTCCATAGAAAATCCATTAATCTTCCACTAAAATGCTAAAACCCTAATTAGGTTTTATCAACTAAACAAAACTATGTGCATGTAGTTCTAAACATTTTTCTCAAATAACAATCAATGGAAAATCATGAAAGAAAATGGATGTGATGAAAATACGAACCTCATATTGAAGATTTTCGAGAAAATCTTCAGAGTATTTCTATGGTCAAGCAAGAGTTGAGTTCAATAACTGACTTTTTCTCGGAATTTATATTTTATAGGTCAAGCAAGAGTCTGTAATTCCAATTTTGTCCCTTGGTATGTGTAGCCATGGGTTAAAATTTATCTAAAGTATAAAAAAATTAGAATTACTTATAATTTATAAATAAAGTTATAATAAAATTATAATTTATTATAAAATATCTTTATTATTAATAATATAGGTAAAAAAAAAAATTTAAATAATTGAGTATTTATTGTTAATAGATATATTTATATTACTAAACATATAACAAAATACGAAAGAAATAATTGAGTTTAGTTTATTAAATATAATAATAAAATATATAAAAATAACAAAAGACATATTGAAACTACCACATATGTTCAAAGACGGCACAAATTAAGCTTGCTATGGTTTATGTTATGGTTTGTGCACTAAGCTTGTTATAACAACTGCACAAATTATATGTTTCATGGTTATCTTTAAGTTTGTGACTGCTGCAAGATACTGATATTTTTTAATATCCCTCAAAGTTGCATTGCATTTCAATGATGTATTGATCAGTGTGTTTAACTTTCACATTCAAGATATTGGCAATTAATATTTTCAAGTACTCACGAAATATGTAGTATTAGTATGCAAAGGTAATTTCGCATAAGACATAAAAATGGAAGCATAAAAGTAATTAACAAAGTTAATATCAATCATCATTCTAATTATCATTTTAATTATTGGTTCAATATGAGACATGATCTAAAAAAAAATTGTGTATACAATCTCATACCAATCATATTTTCTGGTCATCTCAAACATTTTGGTTGTTTAATTAAAATTCATAGTATGGGAGAAATTGCTTGCCGCAAACAATGAATGCAAATTGTGGTTTTGGCCACAAGAGTATTATTTCATGGTGTTTTTTTTTTTAAAGTTTGTTAAAAAACTGGAATAAGCAAATGTCCGAATTTTTAAAGCTAAAATATGTCCATGTATTATGAGATTTAACAATCTTTGATATCCATGAAACATTCTATCACATCGAAGGCATGTTGTTTCGTTTAAGACAAAACATCAATTATATATTTTACAAATGAAATAGATTACAATATAAACATAACTAAACATAAAATATATGTGTTATACATAAATCCGTTACAAAGGTTACAAAAATATATCAAATTACAATTCATAACATAATGATACAGCTCCAACATATTGTATATGCACTTCGAAGACAACCGACAAACTTTTGTACGATATTGTAGTGTTAAGCAACAACATATGACAATCGTTATTGATGTAGGGCTGCAAGAACATAAACTAATAATAATTAGCTTTTGAAAACAACTTATATTTAAACAATTAAATTTGCAGCAACAATAGTGCACCCGTTCTATTTAAAACATGTCGTTGATACACACAACTTTATAATATCACATTTTCACACAAAATGTAAAAATATCAACATAGAAATAACTGACTCACTTCACAAACTTATATGTTTATAAGTTATCGAAAATCTCACCATAAACAACATTTTTATTATCCGCACACGGATTTCCTTCATCATCTAAAATAAGAATCTTCATTCCTTTTCTTGACTTTACCCTTGAAATAACCACATATAATTATGCATGAGTGAATACAGGATGTTGTAAATACAAACCGACCTGAGAAAGAGATTGACCTTAGCTCTTATTAGTGGCCGTTGCAAAACACAACGTAATTGGAAATTGTCTTCTCTGAAACTTAAATGGAAAACTTGGAACAAAAGGAATCAAATTCATTCTCGGTATGTAAATCTTATCACTGATATTTTTTCCTGTAATGATAGTGGCATAAATAATATTTGGACACAATTCATTTATAAGCAACCTTGTTCCATTGTAGAGCTCATTTGATTGACTTATGTTCCTCAGAAGCATAACTGGAACACTAATTTCAACCTTAAACGGTGATTGGGCATTCCGGAACATTTTATGTCATTCGAAAATTCAGGTGTGAACCAATCAACCTGCACTGCACTATTTTCATCAGATATAACAGTTGAGTCAGCACTCAAATAAATCTTTTCATCACCTGGTATTAACGATAGAACAATCATTAACAATATCCACAGAATCATGAGTGGGAGAAAGTAACGCCCTCTCTTCATAATATTTCAAATTGTTCTTATTTCCTAAAAGCAATGGATATGTTAATTCAACTAGAAATAATAGAGGATTATGAGAATCTGTAACCAATAAGTCTTTAGGAATATCAATTGTGTTCTCTCCACACTCATTTAAGTCGTGTTTACCATTGCCAATATCAAGAAACTAGTCTATAAACAATTTCAGTTCATTAGAAACTCCATTCAAGTTTGCATCGACCAGCCTCATGTTCTTCGATAACGTCAATACCTTGCAATATTTCCATAGTTCAGGTGAGTTTATTGACGCTGACACTATATCATGCCTACAACCTTTTCTAACAACAGGTAATGTTTGTCTAAAATCTCCTTCAAAAACAACAACCTTACCACCAAATGGTTTATATTGGTTTGAATCGTCTACAGTCCTCATGATGTCCTTCAAAGAATGATTGATAGATTCGGCATAAAATCTACTTAGCATTGGTGCTTCATCCCATATAATAAACCTAGCATGCAAGATAAGATTACATTTGTAAATGTGTTTTTTGATGTTGCACGTAGATGTCTCATTTGTAACAAAAGGAATACAAAACATAGAATGGTTTGTCTTTCCTCCAGGTAACAGTAAAGTTGTTATCCCACTTGAAGCAACATTTAAAACAATTAAACCTTGGGATCTAACAGCAGCTGGAAAAGTTTTCCAAATAAATTTTTCCCCATACCTCCATATCCATGTAAAAAATAAAATCCTCCAGAATCAGTCATCAAATAATCAATAGTTTGATCATACATTAAGCTCTGTTCCATAGTTAACATTGACATTAAATACATGTCGGTTGCTGCCAACTCTTCCTTGTCATGGTTTAATTCAATAGCCAATAAACCATTTTGAAATTGAGCCATATATGAATTTGAAGGTTGTGGCATAGACTCAATGTTATCAAGAAATTTACCATTCATATAGAGAAATTTCTCAATCTCAATCAAACAAAGTTTTTTTAAATCATCGTCGCTAATTTGAAGACCTACGACAGAGAGAAATGTGTTTAACACCTAATAAGCACGAAAATATAATTAAAACATATATGCATTATATAATTGAATACTTGGGTTACTTAACCTCTTCCTTGCATCGTACAAAAGTCCATCGCACAAAAGTTTTCACGTTGCTTCCCAAACGACAAAAGGATTTCTCATTGAATCCATAAACAATAACATAACAAACAACCTTCTGATCTCATTACCAGACGCCAAATGGTTGGCTTCAATAATGGAATCCACGAATTCTTTGTCGTTTCTCAATAATCCAAGTGCAACACATGCTTCCTTAAATGTGTTGTGTATAGTTCCATCTATCGTCTTTATATTATTGTAACTTGTGCATCCCTTTTGTACAGTCAACAGGAGTCTCAAATAAAAAACATTACCACATCCAGGGGGAATACACATAATCTTTCCAATTGAGTTTCCTCGTTGTCTAGGACGCCACGCTCGGACACTTTTATCATAAATAAACCTTGTAGGAAATTCACCATAAGTTAATTCCCTTTCATCTGGATATTTTTTATTTTCCTCAAACAAAGCCAAAAACATCGTATTAACTTCTTCGTTATACGTAACAACAAACTCAACGGGAGTATTTTCTGAAAACATTATAGACTGCTCATTTTCAAGATGAAACGAAAGCCTTATAACAGCATGCCACCTGTGATGTATGTCCTTCTCAAAAATCCTCCAAACAGCCTCACACGATGCCAAACATCTACATTCATAGTACTATTTTATTTCATCCAAAACTCACCCATTTTCAGTTCAGTTTAAAATCTCAATAGTGGCTCTGTCAGGGCCTTTATTAATATATTAACAAATACTTGATAGCATTTCCCTTGTTACAATACTCAACATTTATATGTGTTTGATATCTAACCAACAATTGTGGATTGTAAAGAACTACATATCTATTGTCCAAACGTATTCCCTTTTTCATAACAGACAAACCAGTATCTCGATACTTATACTTTGGATAGCCTTCATCATTAACTATAGTGGAATTATGGTAGTCCTTTGGAAAATATTTGTAGCATTTTCCATTTTTCATGCATGGTGAACTTACATTGTCTTTTCCACATGGACCGTGTAACATAAAACTCGAAACAACTTTTGCAAGTTTTGGAAAAAGTCTATGATAAGGTAGTTCTGCATAAATGAACTTGTCGATGTCAGTACCTGTCTTGAGTGAATTTGATGGATCCAGCCATAGCAAAATGTGTGTGTGTGGCAGGCCCCTTTTTTGGAACTCTATGGTATATGTCCCTAATTAACAAAATTGTATACGTTAAATTATGATATTCATAAATACATCGCTAATATTGATTTATATAAGTAAATAAGTAATAAAATAACGCAAAAACCAGTTAGTATCATTACCTGAAACAACTCCTCTGAATAACTCTTCTTTTTTAATAGCACTCATCATGTGATCAAGCTTTCCCTTAAATATTCTACAAACAATGTTCGAACGATCACTGGTGGTAAGTCCTCTATTAGTAACAAAAATTTTAATTTCTGGTTGTTGTACCCCAAAATTTTCCCTCTCATTCTTTAAGGCCTTTCTCACAAGGATTTTCAAGGTTCAAGCTTGAAAAAGTGCATTGGGATTTTCCAATACCAAAATTAAAAGGAAACTGTCAAAAAGGGAGAAAACAGATAAAAATAACATTTTAACAAATTTGGAGGGAAACAGGTCTCCTTTGATTTAGCACCCTTCGACTGACTCTTGGCCTCCTTCGAATGCAACTTGGGCATGTCCTTCATTTTTAACTTAAATCCTCC